ATTGAGAGTTTTAATTTTGTTCCATTGGAACAGAAAAGAGAACCTAAATTGCACCTTGGACCAACGTATGTGAGAAAGTAAATCACATAATTTAATACGATGCTTGCAAAAATACTTGACTGTAATATTTATATAATTCCACGAATGATAAAAAATGTTGAAATGTTAAAATGAATGTTAAATGTTTGTTTCAAAAGCAGGTAGGCAAGATTATCATTACTGCTCATTTGCTTTTCAGTGACTCCGCTCTCGAACTGATAACGTCTTCCCAGATTTCTTCAGTGTCCACAAGTAGATGATAACGGTCACTCACTCTGCGAAATGTGGCGGCATGGTGGGAAACTCTGGTTTGAATTTTATCGTTCGAACTATGGCGCGAACTAGTAATGGTCTAAAATATGGCTTCCTTGAAAGTTGAATAATGGTCTGAAATATGGCTTCATTGAACCTATGCTGAAGGAAGTATCCCGAAGTCGTTTGACTGTTTATTATCTTCATAATAGTTAACAGCAAAAAAAAATTTTTTTTTGTTCCTTTTATGAAAAATAAAAACTCTTCTTAAATTTCTAAAGGAAAATGAAAGAAAAGACATTTGGGTCTTTCGTAAAAGAGACATGGTGTAAAGTTTTAAGATTGATTATTTAAGTGTGTAGAGATATTTAATTGGAAGGAGGAGAGATGAAAAATATGCAACACCTTCGGCGGAAATTGAACCACGGACCTCTGGAATACGTGCCCAGCGCGCCGACTACCACACCACGAAGGCATACCAAGAACGCGGGAGAAATACCTTATATCCTCCCCCTTTTAAAGGGCGACTGGGGTTTTTAGGGGACCCAATCGCCAAATACTGGGTGAGGAGAATCATCATCCGCAACCCTTTTAGTTCGGGCGCCACTTGTAGAAACATTAGATTAATTGGAAGCAGGAGAGATGAAATATATGCAACACCTTTGCCGGGAATCGAACCACGGATCTCTGGAATACGCGCCCAGCGTGGTTTAAAATAACAGACCGAACAACGAACTAAACAGAATAACAGATTGAACAACGAACAACAAAATAACAGAACGAACAACATGACTCTTAGCGGCATGTTGCATAGTTCCTCCCAGCTCTGATAAGTTTGTAATTATTCGGCTTTTCTCTATTGCTGCCCATATTTAAATTTCATACGCCGGTTAGAGTTTCTGAGCCAGTTTAGACTGAAATTGAACTATGTAATCTTTGACTAGTAGTCTACGTTTTAAATTTGAATCTGATTATTATTTTAGTTGCATTGTCAGCCTGATCCTGTTAGCACAAGAAGAATATTTATGTTCAAATTTCTATTTTGATAAAAAGTTTGATAAAACCTTTACAAGTCTTTGTAGTTACTTCAGACACATCTATAATTCGTTTTACGTCTGTTAGGAATTTTGGAACTTGTTAATGCTCCCAAAGCAAGGAAACTCTATAAAGTGAACATTAGTAAAGCAAGAGATACCTTTATTTGCTAATGTAGAGACTAAAATAGTAATCTTATGAGGTATTTATCCCACTTCCCTAGCGTGCCTTCGTGGTGTAACGTAGCACGCTGAGCCGGTATTCTAGAGATCCGTGGTTCGATTCCCGGCGAAGGCGGTTGTTAATTTTTCATCTCTCTAGATTCCAAAAAATCCTAATGTCTTTACAGTGGTCCCCGAACTAAAAGGGTTGTGGATGATGATTCTCCGCACCCGGGATTTGGCGACTAGCTCCCCTAAAACCTTAGTCGCCCTTTAAGAAGGGGAGTATATAAGTTATTTCTCCCCTTCCCTAGCGTGCCTTCTTGGTGTAACGGTAGCACGCTGGGCCGGTATTTCAGAGGTCCGTGGTTCGATTTCCGGCGAAGGCGGTTGTTAATTTTTCATTTCTCTGGCTTCCAAAAATCCTAATGTCTGATCGTTTTGACATAGTTGTGAATGAGAAGCGAAAAAAGTAAACTCTGTGTGGTTATTGAAAGAATGATAAACACGCCGTCTTCTATTCTCGAAATCTGTAAGACATATTTCTGAATACTAGAATACGGTAATATGTAATGAAGAAAGCTAATTTATCATTGCTAGTTGAGATGGTGAATTTTTACAGTTGAAATTACTAGAGAAAAAGCCAGAAATGATAAAAATATAATCTAAGCTGAAAATGATAATGAAATAATTCAAGAAACATTGTACAATTAATAGGTTCCCCCCCCCCTGGAAGCAGGAATGAATGCTGTGCTCTCGCCAACTCCGGAACTACTAGCTGCAGGTGCTTCTAATTGCACTCCAAATATATGCGGTAAAGAGGGGAAAATAGCTTAAAGTATATTTCTTATTTTTTTTTATTTATTTGTTTTTTTATAGAACACTTACGTGTCGTCTCCTTTGCAACATAATTTTTCCTTGCAAAAAAGAATGTTTTAATTTTTGAGACTGATATTTTTTCTTGGAAAAATATTTAATGTAAAAGCTGGACTAGGTAAATGCATTCTTCAAAGTGAACCGTAATCTATTGCTTCATTTCAGTGCATTTAAAATGTTTAACATTATTTTTTCTAATTAAAAAAACTTGGTTTAAAATAACAGACTGAACAACGACTATTTTAGAAATCAAACAACAAAAATTAGTATACATAGTATAGTCAAATTTCTCATGCGCGATGAATTAACTAATTCGATAAATCAATTCAGATTAATTTTAGCTTGTAGACTCTGCAATATTTCTTCCTTAAAAAGAGAACTGAAGAATTAAAAAAAGTTCTTCTCTTCTAACCTTACCTGATTTCTATGGAAAAAGGAACTCGGGAATTCGGAGGAAAATATTCGGTGGTGATGTTTAATCTGCATGTCACGTAAGCGTAATTTATCCTATTTAGATTCAGGAATCTTAATGTTACGTCATTTTACTTTCAAAAGAGGGACGATGAATATTTTGAAAAGTAAGATGAGGTCCTCCATGTTACTTAAGACTGCAATTTTTAAAGTTTCTAAGAGTACTTCCTTTTCCTTTTCCATGTTTACGGCTTTAAATTTTTAGAAATAGAAATTAAGAAATTTGCGGTTTTTTTTAATTTGCGAGTCAAAGTTTGTTGATATAGAATATTTAAAATAAGAACGAAATATTTGAAGACATGTTTAAAATTCCAGGACTACCTTTCAGAAAATTTCATAAAATATTCAAAAACATTTCAGGTTTTTAAAGTTAAAAATTACTTAAAAACTATTTCAAAAAACGTAACCAAAATTTGAAAAATGTTGAATCTAACGTAGACTTCCAGCCAGCAGTTAGTCAGAATTCTGAATTGCACTAAATAAAATTGTAAGGAATTTTAGTTTTCCTTACACTGTGGCATCTTGATGTAACTAGAAGCACGTCCAGCTAGCATCAGAAGCTCCGTAGTTCTATTCTCAGACAAAGCACTTTTGAGTTTTCACGTTTACTACTTCGAAGTAATCGTAATGACTCTACAGTGGCGTAGAAACTGAAATATGCCGCTCAGTAAATCGTCAAAAGCATGATCATTACCAGCATGATTTTATAACTGGATCCACTCCTCTCCAGTTGCTCCCTAAGTGGGAAACATGTAAAGAATTTTCTCCTTCCTTACTATGTGTCTTCGTCACAAAGTAGAAGCACGTTTCGTTAAGATTGGGCGGACCAAACGTGAATCTTGGTGAGAACATCAGTGATTTTTCATCTTTCTTGTTTTAGAAGAAACTCTACAAAATTGATTCTTGCTATCCATTATTTATAGTTACCCTTTTTTCGATTTAGCAGGTTGGTAAATGTTTTAAGTATTAATTTCAGAAGAAAGAATGTGGTTGATAAATGCAGTAGTTACCAAATAATTCCAGGAGATAATGTCATCAGACAGACTAACATAATTAGAGATCACAGCTTCGTAACATAGGTTCGACTACCAACGTTTACTTGTTCTTTTGCGTGGCATGACTTTTGTCTCTCGTCGCTTTATATTAGATTGGCACGGATGCAGTAAAGGAGAAAATGGGTCTGCCCAATTTTTACCTCATTTTCTTGACCGTCCCTGGAGTGTTCCCTAAAGAGCCGTTCCCACTGGGGTTTATCTGAGCTAACGGAGTCAGTTCCATGTGTCGATTGGCTCCGCTATGCCTCCAGTTCAGATTTTTCAACTTACTACCCTATGGGAAGAAACTGGTTTTGGAGATCGGTCGGCTACGTCAGTTGTGTTCGTTAGCTCAGATAAACCTTAGTGGGAACGGCCCTTAAAAGCTCATCAAAGTCATGTATCCTTATTGGCTTAATATTGTTATCTAGCTTGTGGGGCCACATAAGCAACTTCATAATCAGTATCAGTATCAGCGTTGTAAAAAAGAGCGTATTCTGCTATTCGTGGCTACGTTACAAGTTTTGCTACTTTAGATCAAGATTTCTGTCTTCGGCTTTGCATTATATTGGGTTGTTCGGAAAGTAATTTCGTTTTTTTGGGGGGAACATGAAAGACAATTTTCGTATAATGAATAAATATTTTATTAAATTATATATTGGCCATTCTGGTCCAACACCTTTTGCCATCTTTCTGGCAGTAACATGATTCCACGCTCATAAAAGTTTTGGTCCTTGCTGGCAAAAAAACTGATTCAGGGGGTTTTTGACATCTTCATTTTGAGGTAAAGGTTTTACCATAGAAAAAATTTGCAGGGCAGGGACCGAACAAAATAATCGGAAGGCGCCAGATCTGGAGAATATGGTGGGTGTTGCAGTATGTCCCATTCAAGCTGTAAAAAGCTTTTTGCGAGTGACCAAACTTGTATGAGGTCTCGCATTATCCTGGTGGAACACTACACCCTTCCTGTTGGTTAATTCTGGCCTCTTCTGTTTAAGTGCATGATTCAATTGTCAGATGATGACAATAGACTTCCGAAATAATAGTTGTATTGTCCGGTAATATATATATATATATATATATATATATATAAACCGATTTCTTTGAAATCCCGCCAAACGGACAGCATCACCTTTTTTGGGTGAATGTTGGCTTTTGAAACGCTTTGAGCCGGTTCATCTTTTCTGCTCCATGACCTCTTGCGTTTCACATTGTTGTATACGACCCATGTTTCGTCCCCAGTAATAATCCGCTTCAAAAATGGATCATTTTTCTGACGTTTGAGGAGCGAATCACACACGTCAACGCGACGACACAAATTTCGCTCCGTAAGAACATGGAGCACCCACACATCGAGCTTTGAGGTTAAGCCGAGGCCTTTCAAGTGGCCATAAACAGTCGAATTCGACAAATTTAACCTCTCACCGATCTCTCGTGTGGTTATTCGCCGATTTGCATCAACTAATGCCTTTATCGCATCTTTGTCAGCTTCGACCGGCCTTCCAGACCGTGGTGCATCTCGACATCAAAATTGCCGGATCGAAACTTTGCAAACCAGTTCTGTCACTGGCGTACTGGTTAACACGCCTTTCCATACACATCCGTCAATTTTTTTCTCGCTTGGACAGCATTTTTACCTTTTCTGAAGTAAAAAAGTAAAATATGACGAAAATGCTGCTTATTGCTCTCCATATTTAAAAGGGCACCAACCAAAAAACTACTGCGTAGAATTAATAGAGATTTTTCACACACAAGCCTTGAGCCTTGTAATATCAGCTCTCAAGACATATAATGGTTATGCGGCTTAAGTGTGAAGTTGGTTTCGAAAAAATGTAATTAAGTCCTCTGACGGGAAAAAACGAAATTACTTTCCAAACAACCCAATATTTGCCGATAGTTGAAATTCAAGCTGAGGAAGTTCTGATCCAACTTCGTGTTAAAATGCTCAGTGTGGTCCTTGGCTATTAGTTTATTTAAATTTAGCTTTATATTTGACTTTAAATTGACTTTTGATTGCTTTTAAATTCCTCGCAATAAATGCTGGCGGATTTGAAAGCTCAAGAAGTGTCTTCTGTTTGACTTATTATTTAGTTTTAAATAGAAGGTATTTTGCATTCTTCTCAAGCCTCTGTGGTACTGTGTGTTAAGACTTACTTTACTTGCCTGACAGCGACATCAGATCAAGCCCACGAAGTTCATCGTGGCAACGAGAGCAAGATCGCACCTATCGTTGACAAAACCTTGAGGACCATACAGGTGACAGTACAACTTTATTTATTTCCGCAACCAAGTTTGAAGGAGAGCACCCCAGGATGACCCAGGTCGCAGGGTCTCCCACCCCTATTCCTCTACGAGAAACCTCTTGAAAGGACTTTCGCCCCAATGCCGCACAGACAGTTATGTCTACTGGAAATTTAATCTTAGGCCTAATAATTACAGAGGTGGGCCTTCATTATTGAGACAAATCCTTAACTAGATGCATCAACTGTGCAGATGTGGATCGAATTTGTAGTTGATGATCAGAAGAAAAAAATGTAATGTATTACAGAATATTGTATTGAGACGTAAGCATAAGACGAATGATATGAATTCACAGATGATGCATCTGACGTCGGGCAGTAGTGCGGGACATATGCAAGTATTTCCTCTTATTGAAATAGACTGTTTTCATAGATTTGCTTTCGAGCTATTCTTCGTGAATGCTATCTCGAACACCGAACTTCGTCGTAAGTGCTTGTGTTGGTGCCATCCTAAATGTACACTGGTTATCATAAATTAAGGAAAAATCACAAAAATAGCGATAACTCCCTCAAAAATAAGCCAAACAGTGTAAAATGTGAATATGTTGCCAAGTAAAAGTAGCTGAGTAAAACTGCAATATGCAAATTAGTGGCACTGCACTCGGAATACGTCATCTGCGAGGAGCATGTTTGAGAGCAAGCTGACATATTTCAGTGTGATAGTGACATCAGAAATCTGAGGTAGCCAATTCGCTACAATGACCTACAGGCATCATTTGCCTGCAGAACTACGATGGAGAGCCATTGGGAGACTAGAGGCAGGACAAAGTCAAACAGAAGTGGCCAGATGGCTAAATGTGAGTCCTTTTGTGGTTCATAGACTTTGGAGGCAATTTCAAACCACAGATTTGGCATCTAGGAGGTTCAGCCAAGGACGGCTGACTGCTACAACGAGCACCGATGAACGATATTTGACATTATGTGCACGCAGGAATAGAACCGCTAGTCCGACTCTTCTTAAATCCTCCCTTGCTGCAGCCACCGGAAGGTTCGTGTCAACGTCAACTGTGCGTAGAAGGCTTCACGAAGGTGGTCTGTATGCGAGGAGACCAGCAATTTGTGTGCCGCTCACGTCACGCTATAGGAGGGACCGTTTTCAGTGGGCACGACAACATGTCCACTTCTCCATAACGAGTATATTTGTCAATCACAGTTAACTGGTTAAATCGTTTGCCAGTTAGGTATCTGCATAACATGACTTGTCATTATATAAATGATTTCCTACCTCTTCATAATGAGCAGGTATTGGTGGTTTTGTTCATTAGCGAATGTAGTACCTCAAAGGAGAATTGGTGGCATACATAGTTATCTGTAGCAGGCTCCAAAATGTCAGCATTACTTGTTACTCATTACCCTGAAAATACTGTCGTTTGGGACTGCATGCAGTTCAATGCTACTTTCAAATTTTTAGATGTTAAATAATATACTATATTACATGCACAGTCACTTCGAATGTACTTAATTTGCTTAGCAATCGTTCTCTTCTTTCATTCAACTTTATTACATCTAAACGCGAAGCAGAGTTAAAATAAATTTATCCTATTTCCGATACTGAATACGAAGAGCTTTATAATTGCCTGAAGAAATTGCAGACGGATCGAATTCCCTAAGAGAAAATATTCCTGAATTTTGTTTTTAACTGACTTCTCTTCTCATTTTATTTTCACACCTATTTACAGTTCAGAACAAATTCACGTTTCCTTTCCCTTAGTGTAAATTAGAGGACTGAATACAGCTTGAAAAAATCCAGTATCTTACAAATAGGAGACTTTTGCAATAAGTAACTTTCTGCGACTTATCAAGAGACACACTCTGGAGGATTCTTCTGGCATTTAATGTATCTCCTTAAAGTGTTGTTTAAAGGTTTATTTTAGTTTCCAAGATATCTGAATTTCTATCAAATATAAAAAGGCTTATATATTATTTATTGGAATGAGATATTTCACTTCACGAGAGAAAAAATTTTCTGTAGAAAGATTGGATAGTTTAGATTATGCCAAAGCCCACGAGATCGATCTGCATAGAGAAAGAGATTAAGAAAAAAACTTTGATTAAGGAAAAAACGGTTAAGTTAAAATTGTTTGTATTCGCTTTGTACGGAGAAAACCAAGTAAGCTTTTATGCAGCCAGTCTGTTCGTTGGGATATGAACCCAGGTCGAAATACCAGAGTTCAATGGTCTTACTGGGTTTCTCCGCTAATGGGCTTTCAAGACAGATATATGGCCAGCTTGATACTTCCAATGAAAAAAATCCTACTCCAACCATCAGTTTTAATTTTTAATTTCTACAGTGATAAGAAATGAAAGAAATATATTTCTCAAGTTAGTCTTTTTATATATGAAACAAAAATTAAATAGAAGGAAGCCTTTTAAAGTATTTCTATCGACAATGCTTTTAAAGCGAAAACATTTTTATAGAGTATAAAAATAAAATTTTTTATTGAATGAATGGCAGTTGGTTAATGTTGGCCCATATATCTTTCTGCAGACAACTGTTTGGCGCTTGTTGCCAAAGATGATTTAGTTAATTTGATTATGGAAAAGCACGCTTGGACTATCTAAAAGGAGAGATGTCATCGTGAAGGACTTTCTAAGGGAAACTCCCAGTTTCATGATAAAACAAATGAATTGAAATATTGTCAAAACAGGCTAAACAACAATCGTGCTGAAACTGCATTCGATATTCTCGGTATGGGAACATGTATGTGTACGTAATTCAGTAATTAAATTATTGTGCTTTAAAAATATTCATTATTTCTCCTCATTTAAATGGTTTGCAGCATATTTTTAATACACAAAGTACACGAAGGCTATCTGCCTATGGAGAAGGATGCCGTATATGGGGGCTCTCTGAAGAACAATGGCTGAATCTCTTCTACGTTCTTGCATCTGATATGAACTTTGGCCAATAATTGCTTATCCTCAGTCACGACTTATGGCATTGATTTTTACTTCATAAACTATATGTATTCGAAAATCGGCAACATGTTCTACTGGGGTAGCGTTGTCCGCGCGGGAACACTATGTGTAAACATTGTTTTGCCTGAGCCGAAGGACAATGACTGATCCAAAGAATATGTATTAACATAGACGTTCTTTGACTAATCTTTACAGATCGGGGAAACAACGAAAATAATTCATAAAGAAAGTCTGTTGGCCGGGATTTAAAACCGGATCCCAAACTCCATCTTCAATGAATAGGGTGTAAAGTAATCATCCTTCAGAATACATTTAACAACGAAATGCAAAGGATGCATTTCTATTTTATTTTCGGCAGTATTATATATATATCAGTTTGTTCCAAGACAAAATACATTTTCATCATAACTCAAAATGAAGATGTTTAAGTTAAAACTATGAATAAAACTGAAGTTCTAATGATCTGAATATGTAAACTAATGTCTGTCGACTTAAGCATTTTAATTTTAATTAATTAAATTAAAGTAAAGTTATTTTATTACAATAACATATATCTGCAAGATTAGCAGAATTTAATTTTGAATGTGGTTTTTCAGTTTACAGTAATATGGTTATGTGCTAGGTTGGGTCCAGGAAAAAGGCGTAGTCGAATTCGCGTACGTCGGATCTAAATTTGTATATGAGTACTTCCATATGTTGTACGTATGCTTACATGTGTATATACATAACCATACATATAGCATTTTTACACCAAATTTAGTTAAATAAGACCAATGGCACTTAAAGAAAAGTGAATAATAAAAAATGCCTTTTCCTACATAGCGATACAAAAATAGTACTAAAATAAATTCAATAGCATTAAATAGTATTAAAATAAATATGTAAGTAGTATAAATAAAATACAAATACAAATAATTCGCAGGTTTGTATGTCAATAGCTTCATATAATTTATTTAACCGATAATTTAATGACTATTTTTACCACGCAAAACTTCAGCAAGCTAGCATTGCTTTTATTTCTTTACCCTAGAGCTAGAGTGCGTTCCTGTTTAGACTCTTATCTCCGTAATTTGTAACTCGTTTTCAGCTGAGCCGAGATTTGCCGATTTTGCAATCGTTAAGCACTTTTCTTTGTCAGAGCTGTTGGATCCTTCAGTACAGATTTGCTCATGGATCTTTATAAGCTGATCTAATTGCTACGTGAGTATAACAGCTCTTTTCTATGTGATTGCAATAGCTTCCTGAAACTTGAAAAGCTAACTGCCTGGTATGACTGATAAACTTTTATACAGTGTTACTTCACATTATTTTCTACAACTTTCTGTGATTATAACGTTTTTTGCAATTTGCAATACTTCAGCATGAGTACCTAAACCTATCTGGAAGAACGAATACGTAGTAGACATATGTCCTCTGAACATTTTTTACAACACAGTGCTTGTGATTATTTACACTGATGAACTCTCTCCTAAA